AGAAAACCAATCACTGTCCTTGCTAACAGCAAGATTTCCAAGAAATACTGACTTCACTTCTTTGTATGACTACTTCAGTTGACTTTCTAAGTTTTTTTACATAGGATTCTCTGCTTTAGAGCAGTATTTCTAGGAGGCAGTAATGCAACACTAACTACTGTGAGGACATCCAGTAACATGATACATGGCTTTTTCTTCCATGTCGGTGGGGCTCAAATCTTGCCAATGTCAGTAGTGACCAAAAGCTGTTGACATCGGGCAGCTGTTATGTGACCCACGAGGAATGAGCTAGTATCCTCAGTCTAGTTTTTCCTGGACAGGTATTCCTACCTTCACAAGAACAACCAAGCCCACACTCTGACTGGCAAGCCTCAGGAGTCAGAAGCAGCATGGATAAGGAGTAGCTCAGTCCTGAAGGAGAACAAGAACTTAAAGACAGTTCTGTTGAGATGAAAGTTGCATCACACCTCTAACAAAAAGGCAAGGAACTTCATAAGTACATCAAGTCAGCATATCCTGCATCAGTATGTTGTCCTGAGCCTCGATCCAACAAACTTCTGAAAATACCTGAACATACAAGTTTATCTTGCAGTCAACAGACCAAAGGGTTGCTCCTCTACAGAATCACAAAAGTCTGAGAATAAAGGTGAATTGTCTAATTTGCATCACAACATACATACCATTTTAAGGAGAGCACAAGGGTAAATCAAAAAAGTACCTCTCAAGCCATAACCATAAGAACATCCTCTGGATTCACTCAATTCTGGACTAGTTCAACAAAATGGATGATTTTGTCAATTTTAACAACAGTTAATTTGCTTCTGAAAACTTAACAATATACACAAACTTGAATTTCTTCTTGACACTGCTCATTACACAACAGTGTCAGGTCTGCCTAACAGGTTGGGAGGAAACTAGGACGTTGCAAACATGAGGGGCTCCTAAGCCTTTTTCCCCTCTTCCCAAAGCATGTTTTATTTTTGAGTCAAATCAGTTTAAGCACAGTTCAGACAATTCAATAAGCAAAGCAAAACAAGTGTGAGTTGAAGTCCTTGCTTATGGAAATTCCCCGCTTTTCAGTACATTTGAGCATTTTAAGCATGAGAAAAAAAACAAACAAACAAAAAAAAAAAAAAAAAAAAAAAAAAAAAAAAAAAAAAAGAAAAAAAAAAAAAAAACCCAACCAAAAACCCACGGTAACCCCTCAAAGAAGCAGCCCTCAGCCTCGAGCAATCTGCACAAAGCTGCTGCAACTGTAAACCCCCCCCAAGCCCGTCCCACTGTTACGTAACAGTGCCAAGCCAGGATTTTCACCAGCCAGCCCAGAATTACTCTTAGAAGGAAACATCTCCTGCCATGCACGAACATTAGAAAGCATTTTTTAAAAATATCAACGTAATAAAAACAAGCAAAAAAACCCACGCACATGCAAACAGAAGAAAAAATTTAATCTAGACTATACATCTAGACTAGGCTTAGGAGCCCCTCATGTTTGCAAGCAAGGTTTTATGTGATATTCTAACATAAAAGAAAAGTTGTTTTATCAGGTTATATCTTAGCAATGTCAGAATATCTGACATTACAAAAACAAGACTCTCCAACTACTTCCACAGGTGTTTACAAGGTGCCTTTTTTAATTATACTTGATTCCTTTAACTTTGCAAGCCTATTTCAGTTGTTCGTCTTAAGAAGGTACTGTCCTATAGGATAGATGCAGCAAAGTGATCTTTTCCTACCTCTGTTACCACCAATTTTCCTTACTGTCTATATGTAGGCAGTGTGAAGTGCCTATGATGCAGCAAAGAATAATCCTATTAAGAATCAGTTTACTGTGTACTAGTGTCTTCAGATGCTATTTTAAGACCTTAAAAGGATTTCACTATTTAATAGAGGGCTGAACCAGTTAAACAAATCTTCACATCTCCACTGAAACACTCACATTATGAAAGAACAGTTACCGGGGGAGATAACACCCAAGCAGCATGTATGTTCTGTTCTTTCTGTTCAAGACTTTAACTCAGTTTAACAAAATCGGCTTCTGTTTTAGTTACATTATGAAAATATCTAACTATATGTTCTGCTAAGTTTTCTTAGAAATACTCTTTTTAGATGTTTGAGATGTTTACGTGTGTGAAAAATGCAAAGAGCAACTGCTGGCAAAATGCATTAAGATGTGCTGAAACCACTGAGGGTTTTATAAATATTGAGATAATTCCTACTCAGAATGAACACCAACATAAGCCAAAGGAAGTTCTGCCATAGCAAAGATCAGGCCATTTGGTCATGTGTTAGGACCACAGCAGACCAAGGAAATTAAAAAAAAAAAAAAAAATTAGCCATCCCATAATCATGAAGAAGTCCTCCCAACAGGATGGTCATTTGTTGTTTCTACAGAAGAATCAGCTAAACATAGCAGTTCCAGGCTTCGAAAGCCTACTCTTGGCGCAATATAAAACTAACTAGTTAAAAAGTAAATATTCCAGATATTAAAAGGCAAAGGTGAATTTCCAAATAATTCTAAAAAAATTCTTGTACTTTTGTTTCTTACACCATCTGAAGATCTACAATTTCCTTTGGAGGAGAATAAAATGAAGTAAAAGGGCAAAAGGCTTAAGAAGGTAAGAGTAAACATAAACGCAAACATAAACAACACATCTTTCCAAATCATATTTACATTGAGTGCTTAATTTTTATATACACTCATGTAAATACAGGAGTGTATATATTTCAAGGCCATTTCCATTTCTTGCCTCCCGGGATGTGTACAGATGCATTCTGCACCTAGGATTTGTGCTGAGCACCATAACACTCGGTACTGGTATACGGGTTATAACCTAACAGGATGAAATATACTATAGCCAAGTGCATCCAGCTATGTGACCAGTGTAGAAAGGAGGAAAAAAACAACCAAACAAAAAGAACCCAATCCACAAACACACAAAACCCCCCAGACCACTAAATACACACACACTTCATATGTACTAAGAAACGCACAAGTGCAATTTAAATGAGGCACTACTCCAGGAAGACAGACCTTGGTCTGTACTGCAGGGCACAGTGTGTTGTTAACCCAAACTCTAATTTGTTTATACGGCCGAGGCTGGCAGCACACGGACATCTTCGGAACAGAGCAAAAATCATGGAGCCGATGCGCGTTTGTGCCGAGCACCCCCATGCACATCTGCAGGCACACGCGGGAGCACGGCCACGCTACGCCCGCGGGATAACTTCACATCCACGCAGGCCGGGCCGTCAGCAGAAGACGGCGATGGAGGAGGAGGAGGAGGAGGAAGCAGCCTTCGCCGCCTCCCACAGCGCCCGCGGCCCGCGCCCACGGCCCGCCCCTCCCGCCCGGCATCCCCGCCGCGGGTGCCGCGGGGGCGGCCCTGCGGGGGGACGGGGCAGCCGGGCGGCGCGGCCGGTCCCCCCGCAGCGGCGCTCGGTGCGGGAGCGGAGCCCCGGCTGCTGGCGCGGGGAGGTTTCCAGGCATCCTCGCTGCATGCGGGGAGCAGCACGGCAATGACAAGCGGCGGCGCAGCCTGCGGGGGGGCTCCGCGGAGCGCAGCCCGGAGAAAGAGGAGGTGGAGGAAGAGGGGATGCCCGGAGGAGCTGGCGGGCTGGGGGAGGGAGCCGAGCCCTGCCCCCCTCTCCCCCAGGCACCGGGGCGGGGGAGGAAGCTGGGGCTCCCTCTCTCTCTCTCACGCCAGCCCTGTGCAGCGCCTTCAAGGCGGAGAGGGGGAGGCGGCGGGGGGAGGAAGGGGGGGAAATGCTGCAATGTAGCGCCGGGCGGGCAGGCGAGGGAAGCCGCAAACCCTCCACTGGGGCCCGGTGCAAGCCCCCGGGCCGAGCCCACCGCTCGAAGCGGCCGCGCCGGCGGCAGCCCCGCGGTACCTGCCCGGGGCGGGGACGGCGAGCACGGACGCGACCCCAGCGGGACGACCCGGCCGAAAGGGCGGCCGGGGCGCAGCACCCACCTTTCACCACCCTGTCCGTCGTCGATAACTTGGGATCAACGGCCTTATGCTCCGACATGTCCGGCGGCCGGGGAGGCGGCGAGGCTCTCCCCCCTCGGGCAGGGCAGGCGCGGGCTGAGACGGGGGCCGCCGCTGCGGTCACGGCTCCGGCTCCTCCGCTGCGGCCGAAGTTGCCGCGTCCCGCCGCCGCTCGCTGGCTCGGCTGGGCTCTGCCGCGCGGTGCCTTCCTCCTTCGTCTTCCTCCACCCCCGTCCTCCTCTTCCTCCTCCAGTTAATTATTGCTCGCTTTCAATCACGCCTCCGGGCTGTGTAGGACGGCTCGCTCTTCCCCCCCCCGCCAAAGACCCCGGCGACAACACCCGCGGCGGGGCGGCTGTCAGGCAGCGCCGGCAGGAAAAGCCGCGAGTGGACGCGGGCAGCAGGAACAGCCAGGTTGCACACGCAGCGGCCAGCCCTGCGCTTCCTTCCTCCGCGGCGCGCCGCTCCGGCTCCTCCCGCCGCCACCACCGCCGCCGCCGCACCGGACCGGGATGCGGATCCGCGTCTTGCCCGGCGCCCCCCGCAGGGTCTGTCCCCCGGCTCGCTCCGACACCGGCCGCGGCCCCGCGCCGCTGCCAACGCTCCGCCGCGCAGCCCCCGCGCGCCGCCCGGCCCCGCCCGCCAGGCTCCCGCTCCCGCGCGCCCCCATTGGCCGCCGCGGCGCTGCCACTCACTGTCAGCCGGCCCCGCCCCGCGCGCGCCGCACCGCCCAGGTGCGCCCGCGCCCGCCCGCGCCGCGCGCACCCGGCGGCGGGGCCGCGCATCCCGCGCGGAGCGGGGCCGCACGCGCGGGGGGGGCGGGGGGCAGAGCCTCTTGTCGCCCGCGGCGGCGGCGGCGGCTGCTCCCCGGGGAACCGCGCCCGGGGCCGCGCCTGCGGGCAGGGCCCCCCCGCCCCGCGCGGGTCCCACCTGCCCCTAGGGGGTACCCGCCCCGGGGTGGGGCGTCCCCGAAGTGCTGTCACGCAGGTACAGGCACGCGCGCAGCCCGGGCTGGCCTGCGACGGAAAGGAATCTTTCTTAGACAACATCCTTCAGCCGAGGGGTTGCTGATGTATCCCCCGGGGAAGAGGCTCGGATGGAGGAAAAGCGCACCCATCTCCCCCAGCTCAGTATCTCGCCCGGCGCACCTGGCGCAGGCCGGCTCGGCGAACGGGGCAGAGCTCGGCCTTGCTGCTGGGGCCCGTCCGGCACCACCGCCTCCTTAAATAGTCCTGCAAGGGCAAACACAGTGGTCAAACATGGGTGAGAAATGTTCGCCGCCCCCGGTTGGAAGACAACAAACAGCTCTTCGTCTTTCTTCTTAGAGGATTGGAAAGTAATTTGCATCTGTGACAGTGTGCCCCATGGTTCCAGACAACATAAATATTGTTTAGGGCTTGTTTATACATGTAGTTGTTCAGGAGGAGCTGTTCCTGACTAATTTCATGACTAATTTCCAGAATAAGGCTAAGTGTTCCGGTTTAGTATAACACTGTGAGTTTTAATTAAAGACGAAAATAGGGCACACCTATTCTTGAAGAGGGATGTTTACAGAATTGTTGTTGAATAACTTCTCTGTACATGAGCCAAGAATCAACAGACACCTAAACCGGCTTCCCATTTCCCTCCAGGCTGATGTACAAGTTGCTTGCTTTGCAGATACTATTGCTTTAGAAAGCCACAAAGAAAATAAGATGGCAGTTATGACACATATTCTCTGCTTTGATTTGCCTGACATTTTTAGGGGACATTTTGTTGGCTGTCTGTGGTATTTTCACTGAACATGGGAAGACATTGTATGTGACTGATACTCAGTACAACAGCATGAGTTCTCAGTGTGTTCCAACAACCATGGTGAGCTCTGTGTGCTGTGACCATCCTCTTATCATCCCAGGAGCACAAACTAGCTGGGTAATAAAGTTGCCATCTGAGATTCCTATCTCAGTGGTAACACAAGAATATGAAACAGAGCTTGTGCTCAAGCACGGGTATTTTATGTATGCCCAGAAAAACCCTGAAGCCCATGACAAGTATGCAGAAACCTCCCCATATGTTAGGCATACTTCATGAAGCACCAAGTGCACAGAACAATGCGGAGAGAAGAAAAACCTCCATCTTCATCCCCGCTGCTGGGAAGCGCTGCTTAGCGGCACTCGAAGCTTGGACACAGAAGGAGAAGCAATGTTAGGAATGCAGTATGTCCAGTATTGCCTACACCTTGTGGGCCACAGCTTCATGAGATATGGACAACCCGTTTGGATCCGTTCTTCTGTGACTGCAGGCTGTTTGCGTGAGTCATCTGGATTCGTCTTGATAGGCTGCAGTAAGAGAGGCTGGGTCTCTCCAGCTTACACTTGCTCCCCCATTAGTCAGAGAACAAGACTTCAGCTTTGATTTTTTAAAAAGAAAGTGTCATCATTGTTGCTTCTTATATAAGGACATCTGGTGTCATAACTCCAGCGTGTCTGTATTAATTCTGAAAGCTATATAGGACTTTTTTTTTTTTTAACAGTTTTCCTTTGCTTCTAGTTTTCAATTATAATATGCCATCTGGGCTGGGTAAAGTTCTTTCACTTTATCTTGTGGAGGGTCTTGATTTTTCATCCGCTGAATGCATTTAGTCTTCCTTTCCAAGGTAGAACCCCCGTTTCAGGTCATTTCTTCTTTAGGAGTTTTCAGATAAGCTTTCATAAGACAAAGGTCAGTACCACTGCTAAATACCTTGTATCATGCCACTTCTTCAAGGTATGACACAGCCAAGATTCAGATCACAGTTATAAGACCTCATGACTACTCTGTCATGGTGTGGTGCAGTCTTTACCCCATGACTTGTTTCAGGAGCAAAATACTTATCCTTGTTATGAGGAGGGGAAAGGAAGAGAGGAAGAAATCACCAAAGACTGTCTTTGTTCTCTGTTAATGGTAACACAATAGAAATATTCTGTGTTTTAGAACTCTGTTAGTAACAGTAGTATAACCATTCCTTATGACTTAAATCTGTCTTTTAAATCCATCTACACAAGTGGTCCTTCGTCTTTTCTCACACTCCTGTATCATAGAGGGATTTCTTTTTCATGGGATCTGAGTCCCATTAGATTCCTTTTTCTCATTTAATAGTGGGAGGAGACCATGGAGATCATATCTTTGAATGAAAAGAACCCAGTCAGTTGATTCTGCGAAAATTCTAACACACTTGACCTCTTGCATCACTAATTCCTAGTAGCATCGTTAGTCATTTCATCCTCTGGTAGAATAGAAGCCCAGCATGATACATTGGAAGCTCTGATCTCCTGAAGAGCAGTCACTTCTGATTACCGATTTTGAAGACAAGCTCTGTGAGAGCTGGGGGAGAAAGAATTTTTTTCAAGTCTGGAATAAGTCAGTACCCACCTCTTTGCCTCAGATGAGCAATTCTTTTCCATTTTATCTGAGACATGACAATTCTTTTAAGCAGCTCTGGAAAGTAGCAGCATCCAGCTGAAGTGGAAGAAGGAATAAATGCCCATACAATGAGAAGCCAGTAATTTTAAGCCAGACATTCATAAAGACATACAGACTAATGGATTCCAAACTGCCGTAAGTCCCATGAAAAATTAGCAATCAAGTTGTCTTGACTCTATTTCAGCAGCAAGGTAAAGATTATTTTCTAGAAATGTAACCATGCTTTTGCACACTGACTCAACCAATTAAGATACTGTTTTAAAGTATTGATAGTAAGAGATAGTGTTTAAAATTTTAATCATTATTATTAGAGAAAAACTGTTCTAGCTACAGGGATCTGTTCTTCATGCATTAGTTTTAGCCTCTGGAAGTTCTGGCTTCACATGTAATAAATGTAAGTTTGACAGTATCTTGGAAGTAAGGGGGAATTAGGGAGGGCTCTTGAGTACTATGATGGCTGGATGGAAAATATGTGCAGTGAGGTTAGTCTGGATAATGGTGCTGCCTTAAGAGATGATTTTCCTGATTTTTCTTTTAAGAGAGCTTTGTAATTGTTTCAGTTTACTTCCCCTCAGTGTAAAAATTACTGGGGATTCTTGACATCCATGTATCTGGGTCTATTGCCTAGGCCATATTCTCTACAACATAGTTGTCTACAAGATTAAAACCACTACGTACTAGTCTATGTTGACAGTGTGTTTTCAGGAGATGCTCCAGAGTGGAATCAATGTCCTGTTACAACTCACAGTCACAACACAGACTACAAGGACCTAAAACTTTCAAAAGAACTAGTTTCGTCTACATTTGACTAAAATAAATTTGATACCAAGAGCTGTATACTAGCCTTGGAAAGCCAGTATAATTTATCAGTACTCCACATGTCATTTGGTTCCATCTTATCCAAGAGAGGAAATTCACCCCATTGTAGAGAGCCTATAGAGAGGACCATATAGCAATTTAGATCACTATCAATGGGCTCTGACTGAGGATTTTTTTGACAAATGGTTTCTCACTCTTATTCTGCCTCAGTGCACAAGAGGGAGTTAGACAAAGGGCCTGGAGCAAGTAACAATTCTTTGTATTATCTATGTGTTTTCTGGCTATGTTTGCAAAGAGACATAAAGTTCAGATGGCAAAACACAGACATATAATCCATCACTAAATGTATCCTCTCCTTTCCTCACATGTGGTCTTCATGTGTCCACTGCAGGCACTTTACCTGTTGCATCATCAGCCTCTCTGGAGCTTCGCATGTTTTCCACCAGCATACATCTGTTGGGCTTTTGGTTTGGCTAATTATACAGGTTCTGGATTTGGTTCTGAAGCTTTCAGCAGAATTTATACACACTGTTAATGATACTGTACCTTGTTCAGAAAGCAAAGCAAAATAGATAATTCTACACAGAGTCATGGAAGTGGTGATACCAGAATGAATTGTGTTGCAATAAAATGCAAGCAATGGCATCCGGAATACAGGAGATGGAAAGCAGGTTAGCTAAAATTCCGAGATGCTGAATCAACATGGAAAACAGTAACAACTGGTGCCATGAAAAGTTATACAGAGCTTGACTGATATTTGAAAAGTCAACAAATAGAAAAAAAGAACACAAGTGAGAGAAAATAACCTTGAGCCCTGGAAATGGTTATACCCCCTGCCAAAACTGGCCTGCTTACAACAGGTTTCAATACCAAAAAAGCATAACTGTGGTCATCTAAGGTTGCGAATGAATATTTGCATTCAGATTAAGCCTCTGGTGCAAAAGTGATCCACAAGTCATGCTTGTAATCCCTGACAGCATGCAGATTCAAGAGGAATCTTGCGAGGGACTTCCACATCTGTCCCCATTTCAATACTGCTGAGAAGCAAGCTAATCAAGTTTCTTCCACTGCAGTTTCAGATTTCTTAAGAGGCACACATACTTTCATCAGACTACTCCAGTAAGTCTAAAGGTGAAGACCAGGTAAGAATTAAGTTTGGATACAAAGAGAGTGAAGCCAGCATAAGAATAAATCAAGACACCAGAGATGGAAGGAGTCATCCCAAACTGAAAAGGATAGTCAGAAAGTCATAGAGCCAGAAGTTTGAAAACCAAAGAGTCCTTGTTATAAGCCAAGTCAGGGCTGGGACAAGGTGAGGTATAGGAGCATAGCACAAAGGGAGCAGGAACCAGGAATCAAGACTAAGCAAACAAGAATGAAAGGCAAGAGAGTCAGAAGCAAAACTACAGCCAAATGGCACTGCAGACTGCCAAGAGCAACTGGTGGAGTTGCCTGACACATCTGCTATTAGAGGAAATTGGCCAAGCTTTAGCTCCTGCACAGCTGGGCCACAGTCCCAGTTGCCCTATTGCATCCAGCTGCAGGGCCAGTAGCCCAGGCAGAGCCCAACAGTGTGGTTAAATGTGCATCAACTTAAAACTTGATCTGCAGGAATAGCTTGTCTCTATAAAATTTTCTGGTGCAAGCAACAACTTTAACTCAACTTAAGTATCCAGTAGAACACTGCACTGATTTGCCTAAGTGTGTTTAAAATTATTGCTTTAATTAAGCACTGCAAGTTTGTGCAGTGAAAATGCCTTACTATAGAAGAAATAGATGTATCTGAAGGCAGGCAACAGTGCCAAGATTCCCAGAAGTGGAAAGACATCCCCTCATCTCCCCCTACTGGTGTGCACGTCCCCGCGCCTCTGTGGAGTGACGAGGAGCAGCTACCTCCTCTGCTCTGCCTATGCCAGTATTTCGTGAAACTGAAAGAATCACAGAATATGCTGTGTTGGAAGGGACCCACAAGGATTGTCGAGTCCAACCCTTAGCCCTGCACAGGACCCTTGGGAGCAGCTTCCAGCATAGAACTGTTCTCAAGATGCTGGCAACAACTTAAAACCACAGTCCTCCTATCAAGAATTAGTCATTTGCTCCCAGAGAGTTCATTCTGCAGACTTTGGTTGTTAATTAGATGTTGCTTTTAGTGGGAGACTACAGAATACAGATTTTGCAAAGGGCTTTAAGATGTTATCCCAGTGAATATTAAAATCTTCTAGAAAATATAAATTAAGAAAGGAATAGAAAGAAAGCTCACTGTTTTTAAAGATGTTTGTGCAGTACATCATGACAAACATCAATCATGACAGACGAATGCCTGTTGAGAGAAAGGAACAATACTTGAGAGAAATGGGAACAGCAAAATAACAAGATACATGTTCATTTTCTATTATAAGTATCTAATATATAGCTAATTTAACTCTGGTGTGTTATGAAAAACTACTAGTGGCAGAAGCAGCTGAAGAGATCCTGAAGACATGATACTCAGTATGTTTAATACCCAGGATGCTTTTCTACCTCCTTTTTCGGGAGCAATGCTGTTGACAGAGACACAAGAACAAAGAGGAATGTGTGTAATTGCTTTTGCAAGAGTAAGTCTTATTTGTTTTCATAAAGATACCATGATTTATTATTTATTTTTGCTGCCTTTATGGTCAGAAAACAGTATAGATTAAATCCCTGCCACTTTAAAAGTAACATGCACGGAACACATCCTGGAGTAAATGATTTATTCAAGTGCCATCAATGCCAGCTGAGGGCTCAGTGGTAACAGACCATAACTGGTGCTAAGAGTGAGATAATTAATCACAATAAGTTGATATTCAAGGAACAAACACTGAAAACTTTAATTTAGTTGCCAAAACCTCTCAAAATATAAAGTGTCTTGTGATGTATTATTTAAAGAAGCATAGTGAATATGAAAAGAAACAATGGAAAGAAAGTGTTTTCCATACTGACCTCCTGTGCTATGTCTTTTCCTAGGAACTTTGGAATGGAAAAAAAGGACAGAACAACACGATCTCTGAAGGTATGTTTGTAAAAATCTCAAATATTTACAAAGCAAAACACTGAAACCTGGATATTAACATACAGTTTAAGGAGCTCTAATGAATACAATTGCAATATTGAATTAGATGTAAATAACTTATTCAAGTTAGCTTAGTGGTAACATTACGAAATATAAAAACCTTCAATTAATTTTCAGTCAGACTGACCATAATTTATACATTGGAAATCCAGATTCTCACCCCAAAGCTTTAAACTGCTGTAAGATGCAAAGCCGCTTTATAAGGGTTATAAGTTATACTTACATTCACATAAAATACATTTTATATTCCTAGGGTGATGTAGAGCAGCCCTAATGTAAGGGAGAACCAGGTTTCTAATTGACTACAAGCATTCTCAACCAAGGAAATTCAGTGCCGTCTTAACCAACTGCTGCAAAGGGACTCTGTCACTGTAGCAGTGCCCTACTAGTCAGTCTCACAAGGCTTGCCTGCAGGGCAGCTTGCAAGATTAGGTATTAATATCCTTAAAAAACCAACAGAATTATCAACAACCAAACTTTCCTCTCCTCCCCCATGCACCTATGTCATGCAAAAACATCAGTCTCAGGCATGCCACATAACATCCTTTCAATCATATTTTAATCAAATTGCTTTTCATCAGCTCCTCAAATTTTATGTAAGAAGCACATGATCTACTTTAATCTTTCCTCCTCCTCCCTCACTTCTCAAAAGAAAGTTTCAGTGCTTACTCAAAGAATGGCATTCAGCACAGCAACAGACACATAAATCTTCTGAATTGCTAAAAAACTGCTACCCAGAGACTGGTATGGCTCTAGATTATGACAATCGAGTGCACGGGACTGGAGAACACAGTTAAAAAACATTCGGATAATAAATTTTCCTTTTAAAGGATCCTTAGCAGCAAAGATGCAAGGGTTATTGATGAGTTAGAAATGGTGGGAGTGCCTGAGAACGGTCATGTAGGAATTAAGGTATCACCCCTCAGAAAGGTGGTGGGATCAATAGCCCATCTGACGTGCATCTACAGCAATGCACATGACACAGGCAACTAACAGGAGGTGGAAGCTGTGGTGAATCTATGACATAGTTGCCATCATGGCAACAGGGTGGGATGATTCGCACCACTGAAGTGTTACAATGGATGCCTGTAAACTCTTCAGAAGGGATAGGCAAGACGGAGAGGTGGTGGGGTAGCCCTGTATGTTAGGGAGTGGTTTGATTGCCTAGAGCTTAATGATAGAGGCATTAGGGCTGAGTGTTTATGGGCAAGTATCAGGGGAAAGCCAACAAGGCAGGTATCATGGCAGGAGTCTGTTATAGACCACCCAACCAGGATGAAGTGGCAGATGAAATATTCTGTAAGCAGCTGGGTGAAGTGTGCTAATCACGAGCCCTTGTTCTCATAGGGGACTTCAGTTTACCAGATGTCTGCTGGAAATACAACACTGCAGAGGGGAATCAGTCTAAGAGGCTTCTGGAGCTTATGGAGGGCAACTTCCTGACACAGTGAGCACACTTGTTCCCCCTGGTGAGGGAACACACTAAGGAAGGTGTTCCACTGGACTTGCTGGTTTTGAATAGAGAAGGACTGATGGGTGATGTGATGGTTGGAGGCCACCTTGGGTAAAGCTATCATGAAATGATTGAGATTTTGATTCTCAGAGAAGTAAGGGGGGGAGTCAGTAGAACTGCTTCCTTGAACTTCCCAGGTCAGACTTCGGCCTGTTTAGGATACTGTCTGACCCTTGGGAGGTAGTCATGAGGTACTTAATGCCTTCTCTGCCACAGTCTTTAATAGTAAGACCAGTTGTCCTGTGGGTACCCAGCCCTGAGCTGGAAGATAGGAAAAGGGAGCAGAATGAAGGCCTAATAATCCAATGGGAAATGGTCAGTGACCAGCTACACCACTTAGACATGCACAAGTCTGTGGGGCCAGATGGAATCCACCCAAGAGTACTCAGGGAGCTGGGGGAAGAGCTCGTGGAGCCACTTTCAATCATTTGCCAGCTGTCCTGGTTAACTGGGGAGGTCCTAGCTGACTTTAAGTTATCATATGTGATGCCCATCCACAAGAAGGGTCAGAAGGAGGATACAGGGAACTACAGGTCTGTCAGCCTGACTTCAGTGCTGGGGAAGGTCATGAAGCAGATTGTCCTGAGTGCCATCACACAGCATATACAGCACAACCAGGGGACAACCAGAAGATCAGGCTCAGTCAACAGGGGTTCGTGAAAGGTTGGTCCTGCTTGAGCAACCTGATCTCCTATGACAAGGTGACCCACTTAGTGAATGAGAGAAAGGCTGTGGATGTTGTCTGCCCAGACTTTAGCAAAGCCTTTGACTATCTCCCACTGCATTCTCCTGGAGAAGCTGGCAGCCCTTGGCTTGGACAGGTGCACTCTGTGCTGGGTAGAAGATTGGCTGGATGGCTGGGACCAGAGAATGGTGGTGAATGGAATTAAATCCAATTGGCAGCCAGTCACAAGTGGTGTTCCCCAGGTCTCCATATTTGGGCCAGTCTTGTTTAATACCTTTATCAATTATCTGAACCGGGGGATCGAGTGCCCCCTCAAGTCTGTTTGCAGATGACCCCAAGTTGGGTGGGACTGTAGGATGGTAGGAAGACTCTACAGAGGGATCTGCACAGGTTGGATCGATGGTCTGAAGCCAGTTGTATGAGGTTCAACAAGGTGAAGTGCTGGGTCCTGCTCTTGAGTCACAACCACCCCATGCAGAACTACAGGCTGGGAGCAGAATGGCTGGAAAGCAGCCCATCAGAAAAGGAACTGGGGTGCTGGTCGCCAGCAGCTGAACATGAGCCAGCAGTGTGCCCAGGTGGCCAAGGCCAATGGCATCATGGCTTGTATCAGGAACAGTGCAACCAGCAGGACCAGGGCAGTGATCATGCCCTTGTACTCAGCACTGGTGAGGCCTCAAGTACTGTGTCCATTTCTCGGCCCCTACTACAAGAAGGACATTGAGGTGCTGGAGCGTGTCCAGAGAAGGACAATGGAGCTGGTAAAGGGTCTGGAGATTAAGTCCTATGAGGAGCATCTGAGGGAGCTGGGGTTGTTTAGTCTGAAGGAAAGGAGACTCGTCACTCTCTACAGCTACCTGAAAGGAGGTTGTAGCCAGGTGGGGTCAGTCTCTTCTCCCCTGTAACAAGTGACAGGACAAGAGGAAATGGCCTCAAATATCAACAGGGCAGGTTTAAATTGGATCTTAGGAAAAATTTCTTCACTGAAAGGGTTGTCAAGCATTGAAACAGTCTGCCCAAGGAAGTGGTTGAATCACCATCCCTGGAGGTATTTAGAAAATGTGTAGATGTGGGACATGGTTTAGTGGTGGGCTTGGTGGTGCTGGGTTAACAGTTGGACTAGATGATCTTTCTACAACCTAAATGATTCTATGATTCTTATTAGTACAGGACACATCCATTCTATAAATAGATGTGCTCTACAGAATGGACAATTTTGTCATCTTGACTTTATGGTTTGTGAAAATAATTTAAACTATAAAAAAGGAGCAGACATTAACATTATTCGAAACTATGAAGATGTTGCTTATTGAGTGTAAGTAAACATTTTGCAGTTACTCTTGCTTTTGCAGTTTGCCAATAAGCCCAGGGCTTGTGTTTGTTTCTTTATATGACACTGCTTTCTGCCTAAGAAGGAAATATTTCTCTAACTCTCCTAGAGTTCACAGCTATCCCAAGAGTAATGACTTCTTGCTGGTTGTCTTCCAAAGGATGTTGTCAGCCCCTCAGTAGTTCATTTCGGGTGAAAATAGCCCTCGTGCCAAGGCCAGGCCAAGATCATATACCAAATAAGTCCCATTAAAATCTTCAGATAAGGCATAAATGACATTTAAGTACTACAGTGCTGGCCTTTTGCTCAGTAGTGAATTAATCTAATATCTGCAAAAATACATTTGCTGTGAGTTAAAAATTAACAAGTGCTTATCCTGACCTCAGAGTGGGATTGGTGAGACTCCCAAAACTGAGTAGCCCAGGATACGCATGCCCTGCCAGATTCTCAGGAGTTTTGCACTTAAATATATCTGCTGGCAGAAGGCTGATGACAACTATACCAGTGGAGGATCTGGATGCCATTACAATACATCAGTCTCTGGATACTTGAAGGCTGGGAGCAGCCCTGACACTGTGACTGGTGCCAAACACAAAAGTCACAGAGAGTGCTAGCATGTGCTTGTGTCATGTTCCCCCCAGCTGGGATAAGAGTGTCACGTCATTTCATCTATGTATCCACCTATTTTAGCAATGAAGCTTACATGAAGAGAAAGGGGCAGGAGATAAGATAGAGGAAAGTGATTGCTGCTATGCAGATATATAATTAAGTGTGGTCTAGCAGATGGGAGATGACCTGATCTCCATCACTTCACTAAAATGCTTTCCTTTTGCCTCTGTCCTGTCCAGACTTCGCCTGAGCTGTCACTTTTTATTCTTACTCCAATTTCTTTTAGCCGTGAGGTCAGTTCGAAAAAAAAGTGGTTTTCACTGGAAAGAAACAGGACAAATGGATGCTTCCAATACCATATAATTAGGGTGCAAAGCATGGCCACAGATAAAATATAGATGCGTGTAAAATATGGGAACCAGACCTTCTGCCTTACTAATGCAATTATTCATATGCATGGCAACACAAATATACTGTGGAAGGGAATCTGTGTCAGTGATAATGTTTGTTCAGATACTCACTTGCATATTCATGGGCTCAGATGGAGAATATGCAGTGGGGAATGATTGGTTCACCTCATTCCATTTCCGTGTCCTCAAAATTTTCCTCCTTTGTTTTCCCTTCCTCTTTTATCTCTTTTTAGTTTGGATTTTTTTTCCTCCTCTTTTCTCATTTCAGAAGTACCGGAACAATATTTCAGAAAAGGATGTAGATTGCACCTTGCAGTACCATACACATTCTCTTTCTCCTAGAAGAACCTTTGTAATATCCAGTTAGAACTACTGTTCTGACCTTCCCTTCACTCCTCCCTCCCTTCTTCTTTTTCCCCTCATCTTCTTAACTCTATTGTAGACCATAGTGGGCAGTGTTAGGGAGGGTTGGATAAGACTCTGCTATGACATTTGCTAGTGATTCTTTCCCAGAAGGGAACCATTTCACACCATTCCCAGCATATCCTCTCACAGTGCCCAGAAGCACTTTTCAAAATATTCTGGAGATTTTAAACTGTATTATTTTAAGTGGTCACCAATTTCTCCCCATCAGCATGTGTACTTTGAATGACTTCAAGCTTTCTTTGGATACTGCCTTTGAACTATCTACCTAAATAAATTAGGGTAAACTCTAACTATGTCACTCACAAACAGAGATGAGCTTAGCAAGTATCTTTTTTTCCTATTAAAAAAAATAAGTTACTAATACTGCTCTAAATATATAGTCACTGCCAACAGTAACACACATAGCAGCCAGCTTCCATCTGCATTGAGATTTCCCAGACAAGCTGTACAATATCACTTCAGAAACTGCTAAGCCTTGGCAATTATCAAAAGATTGTTGGGGAGACACTGCAGAGACAACGGATAAAGTTAATCAGGGAGGCCAATTAAATAAATGTTAGCACAACACTGAGGAAGAAGAAACTGCTGACATACTAGGGACAGTCACTAGACTTTTACTCTGAAGTTCTGAATATTTTGCATATCTTTCATTTGTAATACTCACATTCTATGAAGACCATATAGCAAAACTTGTATGAAGTAATGCTAAAAGAATTACACTGACTTTCTCCTAAGGGTATGCTGATTTTCCAAATGAGGTAGGAAGAGCAGAGAAGGAATACTAACACCCTTCTGTCCACCCTATTCACCAATTGCAGAGAATCCTTTCCTTTCCTTGTGCAGACAAGCTATATAGGCAATCAACAACAAGAAGTTTCACATTTCACATTCAAAGATCCAGAGCTTGGAAGCTGAACTCAGCAAAATTCAAACTGAAAACAAGACACACATTTTTAACACTCTGAATAATTAACCACTGTTATTGCTTGCCCTGGAATATGCTTTGACACTTGAAGCTTTTAAATCCAGTCAGAGTGTCTACAAAAAGATGCTGTCTGCTTCTGTTGCAAGATACTGAACTCAGTGTAGAACCCATTGGCCCTGCAGAGAGTTAGACTAGATGGTCCTAAGACTTTTAGTGGCTAGAAAATATACTCAGAAACACAGCCAAGTGTAAAACAATTTGCACAAATGCTGGTAATGCACACTATTTATGAATTCACTTTTGCTGAGAATGTCAAGCACTTCACAGAGCGTGAAGAGAAAAACTGTACTCTTCTCTCACCAGCCATTTCCAGAAAGAAACTTTAGCCCCCACTGATGGAGCTTTCCCTTGGAGCACTGGTCACCCAGACTAGGCAGCAAGAATGCAGTGAAGCAGTTTCCACAGTTCACGCCTTGTTGGTTTGCATAAAAATTTGGTGTTTATCCACAGAATCAGTGGCAGCTTCTCATTCCTAGGAATCTTATATTT